CCCCCCCCCGTGGGGCAGCGGTTAATAGTCAGTTTATCAAAAGTAAAACGCGCGGGGCCAATCACCCCCCCCCCCCACCGGTGGACACAGCACATAGCTCAATTTGGCTTTGCTCTAAAACAAACAAACAAACTTAATCTAAAGATAAGCCCCCGGTGAGACATCGGCGAGTTTACTGACTTACAACGCTAAAATCCATGGTTCGATTCCCCCAGTGAACACAGCAGATAGCCCAATGTGGCTTTACTCTAAAACAATCCAATAATAATTTCCTTCTGATTTTTAACCCTCTCCTCTCAGGAGAAAATTTAGAGGGTGAGAATATTATGAAATCTAAGTTAACTCTTCAGTTATCTTGAGGAGGACTGCGAAACACGAAATATTAACCTTCAACAAAACGGTTATTAAAACATTTCCTTTCCAGCTTCTCTGTCACTATTTAATTATTTTGGAGATGTAATTTATTGAAATGTTATTTACTATTCCATAATGAATGTTTAATAATTAAAAGTTCTCGTTTGAAAACTTGTAAAAAAATTATGGATATTTAAAAAATAATTGTTAATAATCTGTACTATAAGTCACATCCTTACACCTGCAAGCAATTGTAAAACACGTTGGATTACGCAGTTAATTGTCTTATGAGTACTGATTAAGAGACGATTATTTTGTGAAAAACGTTCCTAGTGATTTGGTATAACTTGTGGGAAATTTCTTGCAGTTAGCGCCTCGCAGTGGAGACTTGAGGAAATAATTATATTCCATTATAAATACAATATATCTCTTTTAAAATTTGATATTGTTTTGAGAAGACAGATTACAGTCGCTGTACAGTTTTTTCTTCTTTTTTCCCATTCATTAGCACACTCAATAGTGTAATGTATTTTGTAGACTGTTTTATGTTGCTTTCGCTTGCACAAGTAAGATTGAAGTGTTCAACAATTCAGGTGCTGTTCCTTTGTTTGGGTGAAGTTTACATTAATTTATAATGGAAAGTGACTTTAAAAATTCACTTCAATAAGGATAACAAAGAATAAAATGTAAAACTACAATCTTTTCCTCACGGTTGATTTGGTATCCGGTTTCTTTATAATGGAGAGTAACTTTAAAAATTCGCTTCAATAAGGATAACAAAGAATAAAATGTAAAACTACAATATTTTCCTCACGGTTGATTTGTTATCCGGTTTCATTGCTTCAGTGGCTACGCTTTGGTAATTTGTTTTTCTCGGTGGTAAAACTTAGTTTAATATATATGCGATACTGAAATACGCACCAAACAACTTTAAAAGTGGTTGATTTTCGAGCTTTTAAGTGCATTTGTTAGAAATATACAAATCCTTGAACTTTTTATCTTCCCTACAGAACCTCCTGACACTCCTCAGGATGTCAGAGTTCAAGATTTCACCAGCAGAACGGTGTCTCTAACCTGGTCGCCATCGTATAGTGGTAACAGTCGTATCACTAAGTACATCGTACGTTATCAATTGGCCACTGATTCGAAATTTGACTTAGCTGGTAAGGATCTGAAAGTTAATATATACTTATTAGCTTAAGATCGTTATCAACAGTTGCTTGATATATTAAACTGCTGTAACTTGTATATTAAACTGTTGAAACCAATATACTACACTTTCGTAATCTATATATTAAACTGTTGTAACTTATATACTAAACTGTTGAAACCAATATACTATACTTTCGTAATCTATATATTAAACTGCTGTAACTTATATACTAAACTGTTGAAACCAATATACTATACTTTCGTAATCTATATATTAAACTGCTGTAACTTATATACTAAACTGTTGAAACCAATATACTACACATTCGTAATCTATATATTAAGCTGTTGTAACTTATATACTAAACTGTTGAAACCAATATACTACACTTTCGTAATGTATATATTAAACTGTTGTAACTTATATACTAAACTGTTG